ACTCTGTCGTACCCAGTCAGAAATCCCTGAAAACATCAGGCAGAAGACTGCAGGACAATAATTTTTAGTTATCACAAGATAATAAATGATGAATATTCAAACATTGTTTTAGTCTTTTATTTTATTATGTTGAAGATAAAGACTTAAAATATCAATTGTTTCTATGTTTTATATTTTGTATCTATGTACGTTTATATTATGTCTAACATTCTTTCTTGGGTCAGGCTTTAAAGGGTTCAAATCTGTGTCTGAGAGGGACAAAAGTGGAGTTTCCTCAAACCTAGAAACAGCTCCTGCAGGGATATTCTTCTCTGATTACCTCTCAGTTTGTGCATTTTTATGGGAGAGATATGAAATGCCCCATTCATATTTAGGTGGGGACCTGACCTATACTGCCTCCAGCATTTCTTCATCAAATCATGATGGACTTATAGTTATTTCTTTGAGGTACTGTTGCCATTTGAAAATGTTTCTTCTATTTATGGCCCCGAAAATATGATAATTTAAAATGATGCATTCTCCATAACAAAGTTAGTTTCTTTTTTGTTGACTCAGGTCCCCCAATACGACGTTTGGCCTGTGCTTTCTGGTTAGACAGGTAGTTCACTCTGCTTCAGTTGGCTTCAACGTGATTTCTGTGATGCGCTCCACATATACATGTATGATTCAGTACAGGCTTTAAAAGTCTCCAGCTTAGTGCTGAAAACACACAAGTTCTCGTTGCATCCTGATGGTTGGGGGCGCTGGTGAGTCGATTTTAAGATCTCTGAGTGAAGTGAAGTGTGACATTAGGGAAGACTTACAGGGAGAATATGAGTACAGGTGTGTTACGAGGCTCGTGATGTCTCTGTTTGGGGTTTCCAAACCAACATCCATGCCATACACCGTTTGGGTCGGCTACTGGAGGGTTTGATGTTTTCCGGACATGTAGTCGGGCTTAGAAATGGCAACGCTTGCCATTTCAGGCTGCACTGTACGCAACTACAGGTTCAATTCCCAAAGAAATATTGTAGATTGTTTTGGAATTCATAATTGTCCTTTTTGAGGGAATATTTTACGCCTCTTTAAAATCCTCTATGGTTCTATAGAAACAAAGGTGTATAGGTGAATACATCACATAGTCATAGAAAATGAAAAACAATTATTATTTATTATCCATAAAGTCAAGACTGGGAGGAGAGTTTAGAAAATAATAAATTCATGTGCTCAATAAAGGAAATTTGGGTTTTATGTAACTAACTCAATGT